AATAAATGCTGCAGTGTTGATGCTGGCATTGCTATGGTGTTGTGAAAGTGCCATTGCTATGCATCTGCTATAGTGTTTCGCGCTGAAGGTTAATACTTACGGATGGGGATTTGAACAACTCCCAAACCGAGCACGTGAGCGTAAGTGAAATTGATCAGACTGTGCTGGGTGAGTAGAATGCACATATTTCCGCGATGAAAAGCGAGTGTTTATTGTGTTCAGAGGGGATTTATGGGGGTCTTTCATGTCTATTTGGCACATGGATGGCATGCCCGCTGCAGACTGTGCCAAGGCTGAAACATGGCTCAACCAACTGCCTCATGCTCCCGGTGTTATTTTTGGATTCATGTGCATCCGTGACCTGACATATCAAACAGAGCACAACATGACACCTGCTTCAAATCAGGAGATCTATTGACTGTAGTTCAAAGTTTTCAAATGTACTAGCGTCAACTTTTCTTTCAAATAAAGAGACAAACTGACTTGAGTCTAGATCTGACATGTGTACAGAAACGAGCGTGCCGCTTGCATCAAAGTGCAGTATCTCTAAATAACCTTTCCAATGTCAACTCACTTTGCTGTCACTAAGAGTAATGGCTTCAGCGTTTAATGCTGGACATGTCAAGTACTTTGGTGATGGAAGACGGGTTTGTATGTGATTGACATTGCTATATTTTTGTTTTTAGGACAAGAGAGATTCCTGAGCTGCTGATGAACCGTGACATGCGCACTCCAGAGAGATGTAGTTTAGGGGTAAAGTACACCTTGAACATGTATTATGCAATGGTATAGACATTTCTATGAAAAACGAGGACTTGATATGATGCATCGCGAATGATGTAGATAGTATTATTGTATATAAATTGCAAAAAAACAAACAAATGTAAATTCCTGCTTATTTATTTACCATGTTATGCTTTTGCCAAGTAGGATGCGATCCTGGATTAATATCTCTGTTGGTCCTGGAACATCATTTTTTTTTATTTGTTTTAAAATGTAATCCATACCTATTCCCTACGCCTAAACCCAACAGTAACCGTAACCATAAACCTAACCATAAGCCTAAATTTTGCATAAACATATCTCTTAATTCTGATTGGCTGACTGGAATTTTGTTCGTATCAACATACACTCACCGGCCACTTTATTAGGTACACTTTACTACCACCGGGTTGGACACACTTTTGCAATCAGACCTGCTTTAATCCATCGTGGCATAGATTCAACAAGGTACTGAAATTATTCCTCAGAAATGTTGGTCCATATTGACATGATAGCATCACGCAGTTGCTGCACATCAATGAAGTGAATCTCCTGTTCCACCACATCCTAAAGATGCTCTATTGGATTGAGTTCTGATGACTGTGGAGGCCATTTGAGTACAGTGAACGCATTGTCATGTTCAAGAAACCAGTTTGAGATGATTCGTGCTTTGAGACATGTTGCGTTAACCTACTGGAAGTAGCCTGTGGAGGTAGGCAGTGGTGTTGACTTGATGCTCAAATGGTAGTAATGGGCCCAAAGTGTGTGTGTGTGTGTGTGTGTGTATATATATATATATA